GAAAGGAATTATTCAACCCTGTATCAACTCAGAAACACATAAGAAGTTCTTCCTTGTTAGACTTGAGTTCTTTGATCTTTTAAGTGTTCATGTGCTGAGTGCACATCAGAGAGCCCACTCATGCTGCTCACCTTGTGCTGGGAAATGGGGTCTGTGGATGTGCCTCATATTATATCTCAGGTGGCATAACTAATACGTGCTCATCAACATTCTTTCTTTGTCCATCCAGATTCTGTTCCGCTAGGTCCTGTTGCCCCTTATCTTGTCTCCTTTCTCATGGATTTCCTGAACTCATCTTTCTCCTTTCCTTGTCTATACTCTGGTTGTTCCACTTGGACTTCCAAATGAAGTCCCAGGAAGAGAAGGAGCTATGGACATGGCATTTCTGAAGTTGCTGTCCAATTTGGTAAGTTAATGATCCTGTGACCCAGGCTTCCAAAACAACAATGAGCTTATGTTTTAGAACCTCAGGCTCTAGTCAAATCATGAGCAATGAAATTTATTACTCCAATACTTCACAGTCTAAATGTCTGTGTACTTTATTTTCATAGGCTTGGCCATATTATAAAGATTGTGGCTTAATATCACTCATTCTGTAAGGAAACTAGAGAAATTTTTGACATCATTAGTGGAGCGCTTCCCAAAAATAATTTAGAAAATTTTGGAATCTACTAAATTGAAAAGTCTTAAGAACAAAAATACTGATCATAATCCTGTATCACATGAGAGTATATTGAATAACGAGCTTTCAGTATTTTGAGCATTGAATATTAACACTGTGACTTTGAACTCCAACATGGAGAATCAGTGAAAGAAACAAGATATTCTTATTGAGTTTCCTATGGCTTTGAATTTACCTTATGTTCCACTTTGGCACAGAATGAGCAGCTGGTCTAATTTTGAAGTGTCCATGCATTTCTTAAACCTGAGATTTGATAATTCATTTCTCCAAACAATCTAAGCAGTAAATCTCCATTCTGGTGTCTTGTATGCTAATTAGATATAGTTGATTGACACTGGAGTATTGTTTGACTCATTTTTTAAAATCTTGGGAAGCTAAAATATCTAGTCAAGGGTCCAGAAATCACAGAGCATCACAACTTTGTCTTCTTTTCCATAACAATTTAAATACATTTAAATGTCAAACGTGATAAAGTACAGCACTATAACTAAACAATCAATGTGGTGGCTCTTATGAATAAACTATCATGTCAGTGTTTAGAGTCATTCTTTTAGGTTCAGTTAAGGATGAGCACAGTCACATATCACTTAAAATAATATTCTTAGTCATTAAAGAAATTAGCCATAGTTGTTTGAAGTCTAGAAATTAAGGGATGTTGTTTTCACAAAGGGAAGGCTTGGTAAAAAACAATAGTGATTGAATTGATGAGGCAAAAATGAGGAGCAAGGCAGTCTAACCACTAGAAGAACTTTGAATCAAAATGAAAAATCCATGATGACAATCCCTGGTTGATTTGAGAAATAAGAAAAAAGAAAAGAACTAAGGTTCGTATTCTCCTTTATGGTCAATAAGTATTGATGTGCATGCATGCAAGTAGTAGGAAAATTCTGACAATCATAACCAAGGAATAGACATTACTGTCAATCACAGTTAGCTGCATTTCCTCCCACTACAGAGAAATGCACCAGGCTAGGCTCATTCTGGCAATTTCAGTGTTGGGTTCAGTATTAACAAATTCTGACTGGCAAATTTAATTTCATTCTAATTTTCTGAATAAAATTGTGTTTTTTGTCTTTCTTTGCCATGACAGATACTTACTTACCTTATTCAATTTATAAACAATAAGACTCTTATTAGACTTTGTACAATAAAACAAAAGATATGAGTTGCAGCCTCAGTTTTACTATTTAGTTTCTCTACATTCAGATTTAATATAATTACTGTGCTATCTAAATCTCTATCTATGATAGAGTGATATTGGAGTGAAACCAAAGGCGATCCAGTTGGTTCCATGTGTAGTTGTATAGGCAGGTTATTCTCCTGGCTTAATCTCAGTGGCTTAATTAATAATTTTATATAATGAATCTGCTGACCTCCTGGGCTTATTTGAGAAAAAGTAAGGTAAACTATATTCAATGACTAACATTATTGTCTACCTCTTAAGAGATACATGATATTAGTCACATTAATATTTAAAGGACTTGTAAGTCATAATTTTATTTTTTATTTTACATTTTGAGGTATTTAAAGCATATAGAAACTTACAAAGGAAAATGGACATACTCTACCATTCAGAATTAATAGCTATTGCTTTATGATCATACTTACTTCCAGCTATTTTTTTTTATTTTTTAAAATAATTTTATTTTTGCTTAGGTCAGAGTTCCTGCCATAGTTGTATCCATAGTAATATACTTTATTGTTTTATTTATATTTTTGCTTTTATCATCAACATGTTCCATATGCTTATTACACTTAGAAAAGTTAAGAACAGTCAGAATAGATGTAATTTACATGTCAACACAGAGCAAACATGTCTTTCAGCTATCTTCACGGTTGTATGTCATGATATGACTATGCTCATTGCTTTCTCAGAGTGGGGACAATCTGGCACAAACTGATTCTAGGCTGCCTAATAGCAGGACTCAGCCTTATTTTTATTCTCTGTCATTCTTTTTTTTAAAATTATTCATTTATTCACATGTGCATACATTGTTTGGGTCATTTTTCCCTTCTGCCTCCCTTCCTCTCCCCTCTCCCCCTCACTTCCAGGTAGAACCTGTTCTGTGCTTTTCTCCAGTTCCGTTGAAGAATAGAAATAAGCAATAATAAGAAAGACATAGTGTTTTTGCTAGTTGAGATAAGGGCAGCTATACAAAGAGATTCCTAGCATTGCTTTCATGTACAAATGTGTTACAACCCAAGTTGATTCATCTCTAACTGATCTTTACACTGATTCCTGATCCCCTTTTCATGTTGACCTCTGTCACTTTAAGGTTTCTGTATTAGTTCCTCTGGAGTGGGGACATCAAATACTATCATGTTTTGGGTTTTCTATCTAACCCAATACCTCCTGTATGTGTTCTTCCTTTGTCATGTAACCTAAGTCCAACAACATTGCTGTATATGCCCTAGATCTAAAGTCCACATATGAGGGAGAATATACAATTTTTGGCCTTCTGAGTCTGGCTAATCTCGCTCAGAATGATGTTCTCCAGTTCCATCTATTTACTTGCAAATGATAAGATGTCATTCTTCTTCATGGCTGAGTAAAATTCCATTGTGTATAAATACCACATTTTCTTGATCCATTCATCAGTAGTGGGGCATCTTGGCTGTTTCCATAACTTGGCTATTGTGAATAGCGCTGCAATAAACATGGGTGTGCAGGTGCCTTTGGAGTAACAGGTATTTTTAAAGAAATGAAATATTGTAAGTCACAGCCTTTGATCCAGTTCCTTCTTCAGAGGACACTACCATCAGTTTAGTATATACCCTCCCATTTACTTGTGCTCTTTCTTAACCATTACAGAATGTCATTTTTCTAAATTTCTATTTTACAAGAGATGGAGGTAAAGCCCTCACTGCCAGTGCTGGTTTGATTATAAGTACTAGCCCTCAGCTATCAAATCAAACTTTGTCTATCTATCTAGATATTATCACATTACATCCATCACCACTGTAGAAGTTAGTCACAACCTCTGAAGTGATGACCTTAATAATTCCTTAATTTCCAATAAGTGTCTTATTTTAATGCACAAAATCTTACAGCTATTGTTGTAAACACATACTACAACATGGTTTAATTATAGCAAAGTATTTTTAGAGCAGTGGATTTGAACCTTATTTTGTGCCTCAATGGACCCAAGAAATACAATGCATTTTTTTTGGCTGGGCCATACTTTGTAGGCCCTTGCAAATGTTAGGCAAGTACTCTACCACTGAGATACAGTCCCCAAACTCATATATTCCCTTTAAATAAAAGTCATAACCATACTTCTTTTTTACTAACTGCTTAGGAGAAGATTAAAAAATATCAGTAAATAGAACTCTGGTTTTGGTTAATTTACATTACATAGTACACGCATTCTAAGATAGAAAACCACCACAAAATAATTGAGAGTGAAAGAATCATAGAATATACAACATATTGTAGTTCTATGAGACCAGGACAGATAAAGAAAATAATCAATGTGGGATTCCTAAAAGTGGAATTTTTTTAGTAAGAAAAAGATGTGATTAAGAGGCAGGGAAAGGCTATTGAATGAATGCTAAATGTTCATTCCACTGGGATTGATTCTGGAAATTGTTTTATTTCTGTCTTTTTCATCTTTATGGGACAGCATTCCCAACATAAAATGCCAGCCAAACCACCAATACACCTTGGTGTTATAAAACATAATTTTATTGTAGAGGATTAGGGTGGGAAGGGTAGAGGGGATATGGAGATAATGATATGAGTTATTCATTAGTATCTTGTCTGACACATGCATAGTTAGGTCATGTTCCAGTAAATAAAATGAATCAGAAGTATAGATGTAAATAATAATGAGATAATCTTCTTCTTAAAATTTTGCTCTATTGAATTTGGCTATGACTTGAGGCTTTCCAGTATTAATGAGACAGTATTTATAATGAGATTTCACTTAACAGCAAGTCTGGTTCTCTGATTCAGAAGTTCAATGCCCTTTTCTTACCCAAAGGTTAAAGATAGCTAGGACAATTTGGTACTTCCCCATTTTTGAAAAAAAAGTGGAAATTTTTTATTGTTTATTCCCTTGCAAAATAATCACCTTCTGAAAATAATTTATTTATATCTTTCTAGATTAAAAAGTGAAATATTGATAAATAATCTAACCAGGATCTTGAAAAACTCCAAATGTTGTGCTTTTCAGACCAAATAATTATTTAATCATAACCTACTGAAATTTTTGGTAAAGGATCCAGCATTTTTAAGGAAGTTTCCATTCTACCATTTTATAGTCATTCCACTTCAAGGTAGTATATTTGTGCTTTTATCTTTCTCCCAACAGGTAATATGTGGTCACAGGTGATGGAAAAGGAAAATATAAGTTCTTTTGAAGGCTTCATCCTGGTGGGCTTCTCTGACCGTCCCCACCTGGAGTTGATCCTCTTTGTAGTTGTCTTCATCTTTTATCTGTTGACTCTTCTCGGCAACATGACCATCATGTTGCTTTCGGCTCTGGATTCCCGGCTACACACACCAATGTATTTCTTTTTGGCCAATCTCTCATTCCTGGACATGTGTTTCACCACAGGCTCCATCCCTCAGATGCTCTACAACCTTTGGGGCCCAGATAAGACCATCAGCTATGTGGGTTGTGCCATTCAGCTATACTTTGTCTTAGCCCTGGGAGGGGTAGAGTGTGTCCTCCTAGCTGTCATGGCATATGACCGCTATGCTGCCATCTGCAAACCCCTGCACTACACCATCATCATGCACCCACACCTCTGTAGGCAGCTGGCTTTGGTGGCATGGTTGAGTGGCTTCGGCAATTCTCTTATAATGGCACCCCAGACATTGATGCTACCTCGCTGTGGGCACAGGAGGGTAGATCATTTTCTATGTGAGATGCCAGCACTAATAAGCATGGCCTGTGTAGACACTATGACTCTTGAGGCACTGGCCTTTGCCTTGGCAATCTTTATCATCCTGGCACCACTCATCTTCATCCTCATCTCTTATGGATACATTGCACAAGCAGTGTTTCAGATCAAGTCAGCTACTGGGCGAAAGAAAGCCTTCAGCACCTGTAGCTCCCACCTAATGGTTGTCTCTCTCTTCTATGGTACAATCATATACATGTACCTACAACCAGCAAACACATATTCCCAAGACCAGGGAAAATTTCTTACTCTTTTCTATACAATTGTCACTCCCAGTGTTAATCCTTTGATCTATACTCTAAGAAACAAAGATGTTAAAGAGGCCATAAAGAAGGTGCTGGGGAAGGGGAGTGCAGGACAGTAAGAAGTGATCAAGTGTGAATACTGTCTTTTGACCCATCTTCTATATTTGTTGTTAGAACTAGCAAATAAAAGAATGTTCTAGCATTACTGACCAAAAAAGGCACTTACTAAGATGGGAAATTCAATAGCCAGGTTGAGAAAATCTAATATTCCTCCTGAGCTGACAGTGTTTTGTATCCTCTGAAGTTTGCCTAAGTCAAGCATTCATCACCAAGGGTACTCTAATCAAGATAAAACTTGATCTATGCTTGCAAAATACCAGCCATGCATGTAGTCACCAATTTCTATCATAATGATTTATGTTTAGTAGGTCCTCAACAAATATGAAAAGAACGATCTTAGAAGTAGTGCAGAAGAAGCAATTTTTTCTAGGAAATTAAAAAAATGTGCTTTTCTAGTGCCAAATGTCTGATTGAGACTTGCCAAAATAAATTGTTCATTTATCTGGCTTTAGTACCACCAACACCATAATTGACTTGTGGATCCTGCATATTTTGAGTCAGTGATCTAATTGAGCTTAATAACATGTTTGATTCTATTAAGAAGGAAAAAGAAAAGATGCAGAGCAAGATCATGAGGTGTTTGCTTCATATAGAAGGAAGAATTTCTTGTTAATATTCCATCCTTGTTGATACTTGCTAATGACAAGAGAAGCCTGAGAGTTCTTCTTGCTTAAAATTTTTGAAAATTATTTAATCTCTACTGTTCCCATATATTATCAGGATAACCTTAGACGCAGAAATAAATGACATGAATTTTGAGGACTTGTTGGAATCTTTATAGTTAATTATTCTCTGCGTGTTGGCTTCTTCACTTTTTACACAAGTGACAACAGTACATCCCCAGTCATAACAGAAATTGATTTGAATGGTTTGTGCCAAATGAATGAATGTCCTTCTTAAAGACAACCAAATTTCTTCAGACCTGACATATTGTTTGGATGAATCCCACCTCGTAACTTAGAAAAACATTTATTATGTTAAAATTTCTGCAAGTGAATAAGGATTACAAAATTTGAGAATATTGCCAGTGGCATCATTAGGAGTTAGACTAAAGATGGGTTTAGCAATTTGTCATTTAAACTTCCTCAAAAAATTTAGGAAAAGTCAGGCTAACCTAGAGGTTTCAGAAAATATGCGACATACCTAATTAATTTTCCTCAAAACATAACATTGTCAAACACAATGTGAATATTTTCTTATTTTTGAACACTCACTTTTATATTCTGTCCAGATAGATTGGATTAGATTTTATGTAAATTAGTTAGGGTTTAAAGAATGGATTTTTGGTTCAGTTTTGATTATAGAGGGTATTCTATTATTCCTATAGGAAGGCAAAAAAAATAGAATATATTTGATTCTTCCTACTTTATTGCACCAATCAAAGCATGATGTTAGACCATGAGGGTTATTAAAGAGATAATTAGCTGGGTGCATGCCTATTATCACAGCTACTTATGATGGGGAGGCAGAGGGTTGTGAATTCGAGGCCAGCCCTGGCAAAGTTAGTGAGACCCTATCTCAAAGACAAAAACGCAGAAAAAAAAAAAAGGTGGGGGGGGGCAGGGCTTAATGGTATGACTCAAATGTCAAATGCACATGCACTTACTGGGTTCAATCCCAGAACCACAGAAGGGGGAGGGACATTAAATGCAGCCAATGTTCAGATTTTGATGATCCATGGCTTAACATTTCCAGTTCTTCTACTAAAAACACAACAAAACAAAAAAAAAACCAAGCAAACTTATACTGTGTGTCCTAATGTTTATTTACAAATAAATCCTAAGAATCATTCATTAGAGAAAAATTACAATAATATTTTCTCATCCCAATTCTGTTTAGATATGCATTGCTTTCAAATTAATATCTTTGAATGGGGTCAGGAAATCAAGAAGCAGAATATATATCTCTTTAGATATGGCTTTTGAAAGCTCCTTGGTGGAATTCTTAACTGATTCTCTTAAAAACTTGACTCCCTAAGACTTATGTCTTGCCATATTTTTCTCTAACTTTTAGAACAACTACTATAGATTATAGAGAATAGTGATGTCAGATCTCATGAGAAAAATACCACTATGTCCTTAATAACAGTATTATAACCCAGCATCACCTTTTTATGTAGTTTATATATAGTATTTTACAAAATTTACTTAAGTATAAAGTAGGAGAAATTAAACACATTCTAATTGTCCTGTATTCTCATGAGAATTGCAGAATACTGTTCCTAATAAAAATAGAAGAAAAATATTTTTACTCCCTATGGACTTTTCTTTTCACTAACATATGACTCATCCTACAAATTGATCTTTTATATAAAGAAACGGAAGTTTAGGTAGAAATTATTATCAGGATTCTACTCACTGTGCACAGTTTTGAATAGCCATGGTGTTTTAACTCCCTCCAAGAGAATAAATATTACCTGCATAACTTCTGTGTGTTTGTGTTTATATTTACTGTGATTGTAAATGAATAACTATGAGAAAATAGCTCAATAAGCACTTGCTGATCAGATTATAACATCATTTTCCATCTTGCCTTGTTAGATAGTACAAGAGCCCTAAAGATAATTCTCACAATTTTTGTTTATGTTCAAGTTTGTCCTCATTCATTCATTCATTCAGCAAATATATATTGAGTGCTTGCTATGTGCCAGCCATTATTCCAGGTACTGGAAAAATACACAAACACACACACACACACACGCACACACACACACAAATCATCATGGCTTTGAGTTTGCATTCTCATGGAGAGGAAAAAAATTGACAAAAAGGGAAAGACTTGTGTTGTAATAGCTGTATGAGTGTTACAAATATAATGGGGACAGCAAGGAGTACGGAAAGGATACAGAGGGAGTTAGGGAAGACCTTAAAAATGCATTGCAGCAAAGACCTGAAAGAGAAGAAAGCAAGCAACACAGACATCTAAAGGAAGACTGTTCCCAGCAGAGGGAGCAGTAATAACAATATTTAGGTCAGGAAGATCAGGAAGAACCAGAGAAAGAGATCAGACCATCCTGGAAGGAAAGAGTGATAGTGGCTTAAAGTGTGGATAACAGGCCAAGAGAGATGGGGCCTGAAAACTGATCAATAGTTTTAGTAATCTGGGAGCCACTGAGGAATGGGATAACAGTAGGAAACGATGAGAGAAGTTATAATGGGGATGATCCAGCAATAAAATGATAATGTAGAATGGAGAAGTAAGTTGCACAGTGGTGATTTAAGTAGGTGAGAAGGAAAAAGGACCCAGGGCATGAAAGGATGCATTGGCTTTAAATAACAGCAAGAGTTTATAACAATAAGAGAGAAGGCAAAAGGGCATATGCAAAGATGTTGGTGGTCAGACAGCTAAAAGCATGGGTGTTTGTGCAAGTTCTTTTCTAATTGTTTTTCTTTTAGCTATGAAATGGGGAGGAGGAATTACAATGTTATCATTAATACTTCAAGGATATTAGGATAATAGAATAAACAAATTGTTACTTTAATACTTGTAAGGAGCTTATTAAGATATATTTAGTTAGGACCTGTTGTGATTTATTTGTTCTCTCTTAAGACTATTCACTGCCTATTTCCTTTACTTTAGTATTTGTTTATCATTTTGCCTAAAATATTGTCTCCTGATCTCCCCTAACTCTTCTTTCTCATCTTTCTACCATTTATTATGTCTATGAATAGACACAGACTGTCAAGCAGATAGCAGCATTTTCTAAGTATTTTTTAAAATTGATATCACCTGTTAAGTATTCAGTCATTCTGAAAATTCCTTTATTTTCCATTTAAACCCAACATCATGTGAACTAACAGTAGTAGGTAGTCATGTGTACTAACATGGAAAATCTCATGGATCCAAAATAACAATGCTTAAGCATCCAAACATTTTTTCAGGAAAATAATGCAAAATAGAAGCAGTATTAAAGTAAAAGAACCTCTTCCTGGCAAGAGATTCAGAGAAGCCAGGCATGGCCTCCAATTGTCCTTTTTTTGTAAGAGCCATATGAATGTGTTTGCTCTTTCAGATGTGTACACAGATCACCTCAAAAGCAGAGAGCACAAAATGGAGTCTCAGATGGGGCTTCCCTCCTGTTATTCTAGTGACATAAGTAGATCCAACAGCAGAATATTCCAGGAGTTTCATTGAGACAAGATTCAACTCTCATTCATGTTTATTATTTATTCATTTATTCATATGTGCATACATTGTTTGGGCCATCTCTTCCCCTGCTCCCCCTCCCCTCCCTCTCCCCCCCCACCCTCCTCACTTCTAGGCAGAACCTGTTCTGCCCTCTTCTCCAATTTTGTTGATGAGAAGACATAAGCAATAGTAAGTAAGACATAGCATTTTTGCTAGTTTGAGATAAAGATAGTTATACAAAGAGATTCCTGGCATTGCTTCCATGCACATGTGTATTACAACCCGAATTGGTTCATCTCTGCCAGACCTCTTCACTACTTCCCAGTCACCTTCCCATAGTGGCCTCTGTCCATTTAAGATTACTTTATTTGCTCCTCTACAGTGGGCACCATAAAAATATCAGAAGGAATCATGGGTGAATTCCTCTTGAATCTACATAGGAAAAGGTTTTCTAACAACAATTCAAAATCCAGATCAGGTGGGGTGCTTGAGAAATTTATCTACACATTAAAAAAAAATTCTCTTGTGCCCATTTGTAATAGTAGCCCTAGACTCTTCCCTTGTTTTTCTTTCACATGCTGTTCTTCAGCTTCTATATTCACCTGGGAGTAAGTGTTGTCTCTGAGCTTAATGTTGCTTCTGATACAACCTTCAATTTTTATTTGGACTTTTGGATATTTAATACTTAGTATTCCCTAATATACAATTACAGGCATGTCTCCTTCAATGCTTACTTCCCCCTTACATAGGAAGTTCTTCCTTAGACCTAACCCTGAGGACTCCAACTCTCAAGGCTAAGCACCAAAATATTACTATGGCCATTACTGCATCCTATTCTGTCATACAAGAGGTAATTGATTAGATGGTCAGA